TCATAGTTCTTGTTAATCGTTTAATTGATTAGCAAGTTCCGTTACCCATTGATCTCTTGTTATCATATCATCTACTTACTAAAATATTATTATATCAGATGTATTTTTTAAGAACTCTCTTGTGGGCATTCTTTAAGTTTTCTTATCATGTTTTATCTGCAAAATTATTTTTTTCTACTTTATCAGTTAACAATTATTGCTTTTAATTACAAAAGTCAATTTTATCTATTATCTTCAATAGTGTAGTATGGTTCTTTTTTACTCATGCACTATAATCAAATTTGATTTCATTGAATATACAATTTTACTATTTCTACTAAACCCGCACAGTGGTGAGAAAGCTTTGGAAATTGTGAATGAACAAACAGATAAGATGGTTATGGCAATATGGAGATTTAGAATATAACAGGAGGAAGAGAAATAAAGGAAGCAAGATGAAAAATGGATAAAGTTAGGATAAATGTTACTTTGGGGGAAGGTGAAAATGAATGTGTTAAGTTTACAAGGATACATATTAACAAAAAAGTTAGGGCGATAGATGCTGGTTCAGTGAGCATTCAGGTGCCAGTCTCTAATGGATTTGAACCTTTGATTGCTTACAAAGAGTAACAGGATGATCAAGAGGTTTACATAGTAGGAAACTCCTCATTAAGCATAATGATAAAGTTGCCTATATTGGAGACAGAAAAACTATGAGTGAAAGTTGCTAGCTAAGTAATGAAGTACAAAATATTATGAAGTGTGTTGGCAGTTCAGTTGTTAAAACTAAAGAGCAATCTCTTTTTGTAATGCATTTAGCAGCAAATAATCTCATAAATCAGAAAAGCTGTTTAAAAAGTGTAAAGAACTCATTCAGGAGCTTAGGAATAGAAATAGCAAATAATCTCATAAATTATAAATCAGAAAAGCTGTTTAAAAAGTGTAAAGAACTCATTCAGGAGCTTAGGAGTAGAAATAGCAAATAATCTCATAAATCATAAATCAGAAAAGCTGTTTAAAAAGTGTAAAGAACTCATTCAGGAGCTTAGGAGTAGAAATAGATATGTAACCATTTTGGGAGTGCTAGATGCAGAAAGTACTAGCATAAGATAAATAACAGCATTAAAGACTGTCAGATTTAAAGATAAAGATAGTGGGTTCAAAAATAAGCTTAATTGCTATTATTCTAGTGTTAGGAGTATTAATTTGAAATGTGGTGTTATAGATGAATGATTAAGATCAGAAACACAGAAATATTAGCAAGGAAGTATTAGAACCTGCAAGTACAAAAAACGAACAGCTGAATATATGTAGGTAATGGAAGATCCACTACTTTGGACATATAATAAATATATCAGAGGGAAAGTTGGTAGAGATTCTGATGAGCAAAACTGAAGAAAAAATTGAAAGAGGCAAGCAAAGACCCACTTCACTCAATAACATTATAAAATGCATTGTGAATGAAATGGTTGAATTAGGAAAGATGATGCATTCAGAAATAAACAGAGAACAATGGAGAACTACAGCCAAACCTCATAATTGGGGAGGATGTAATGACTGATTGATTGAGGAATATTAGGAACAAAACAGATGAGTTAAAGGCCCTAGATGAAATGAAAGACTATGATATAATGGGAATAAGTGAAACTTGGTTAAATTTAGAGGACACTAATAATAGGAAATTACTTTTTAAGTTTTATGTTATAAGTTATTTAATATTATAGGGTTTTTTTTAAAAGGTAAGGTGGAACTTTATGAAAGGAATCAACTGCAGCTTGTTGGAATAGAAGGTGTAAAAAAATGGTAGTTGAGGTTGAACCTACATGGGTTACAAAAAAGGGTAAAATGTAGAAAGTTATTAACTGGCAACTATTATTAAGTCACCTGATCAGACAAACAATGTCAGTGAAAAATTGTATGATGAGATCGAGGTTGTCACTAATAAGGACACTGATGTAATAACTATGGGAGACTTTAATTTTAAACACATAGAGCTGGGATTGTATAGAGTTAAAGAGCGATGAAGAGAGGTTTTTCTAAAGTGAACCAGGATGGTTTTTATACACCAAATGGTCAAAGAACCAAACACAAGGAATGTCTTTTTAGATTTCTTTTTCACCACCACTACTAATGAGGATGTGATTGAAGGAGTTTAAATGGGTAAACATATGAAGAAAAGTGCTCAATGCATTATTTTCAGATACGTTCAAAAACCAAGTTCTAAGGCTAAGATACAAGATTTATCATTAACAGCTTAGGATAATGAGTGAGGTGATGTGACATAGGTTTGGAAAATTGTTAAGCATCACTTGATTTTTATTTGAAAACAGACTTGCTCATAAAAAAATATAACAGGGAAGATTACACCTAATAACT